ATTTGAATATTTTTTCTTTTTTTAAAATACACAATTAAATTGGCTACGAGATTACCACCATTGATAGTGGGTTTGAGATTCTCATTATCATTGAGAATTTAATTCCAATAGTGATCTTATTGTTGATGATATAAATTATTGACTCATTAACCACCCAACACATGGTAATTCATGGATTTAAGAATGAGATTATCATTTCTAACTAAGATTATTGACATTCAAATGGAGCCTTATGAGTGGTTTAGTGACTGAGCGTAGCATCTGATAACTTAGAGTGTCTCAACATCAATATTTTTTATAGCCCATAAGAGTAAGTCATCCTTATTCATCAAGGAGATGTTCTAAACTCGTTCGGACTATGATAGTCAGTGTTCAAACTCAAGGGAGTAGTCAAACTCAAGGGAGTAGTCAGTGCAAGTCTAGATAATCTGTAACAAAAAAAAATCTAAATTGGACATATAAGGAGTTTTATTTCTACAATAATAACTGAAATCATTAAAATTAAAAAATTGAAATTTTCATATAATTCGACCTGAATAGCTCGAAGAGATTAAATTTTAGTGGTTTTATATGAATTTTAATTTAATTTTTATCATATAGTGATAAGTAAAACAAATAACACAATCCCATAAGAAGAGTAGAGATGTGTATCAATGGTTGTCTTCACAATAATAAAAGACGTCCCTTTGATTTGGACGTATAATTGTTTGGTACAATGAATGAGGACTAATCTTCAGTAGGAAATTAAGTAATATTAGGCAAATTACAAATATTCTACGCCATTAATTACGCCAATATATATTTTAATTCGTATATAATTTAGATTGAATCTTTATTTTATTGAATATCAATATATTTATAACTTACTTATAGTCGATAAAAATACCAATCCATTTTTTTATGGTAAAAAATAAAAAAAAAATAGATATGCGGGAAAATAAAATTGATTGTGTTTTTAGAAATCATATTTCTCACCAACTACAAATCCACCTTTAAGATGGGGATTTAGGTAGAGAAATAATTGACCAACAGCTTAGCTACTCTTGTAGCAAAAACAAAATTGTCAACCCTCACAGCTAGTTCAAGAGTATGGAATTGAATCAAGACTAAACGTAAATTCAAGCGATTCACGCTATTGTTTTCTAGACTTAACTAATACCTATGATTTACTAATAATTACAAAAATTCGGAGTTTACTCGCGTAGTCTTGCTCAAATTATTTATTATTTTTATAAATTAAAAAAAAAAAAGAGTACCAACGTGAACACATCGCAGTTGCTTTCATCGGAGAAAGCGGGGAAAAAAAAATCTCAGCTTCAGTTTGGATGCATATTAATGACCTATGCATGGCCCACTTAGCTAATATAGGCCATTCTATCATTTTGGCAGCACTGTGTATATGTCAAGCCGCCCCCCTTTATTTGGTCGTAATTTTTTTTATTTCGTGTGTTGATCTTTCCTCACCTAACACAAAGCACTAAAGCTATCATATATATATATATAATTCTTTATTATACCCAAAAATGATATCAGAAATAAGTAGGATGATTTTTCCGTAACTGATTTGTGTCGAGAGTTAATGGACAAAATCTGTCTCTCGTCTTTCAGTTGTATACATAACCTCCGGTAAAAGTATCTAGGTCATTCACGTACGACCTCAAACGAAGATATTCAAATCCTCCACAAACGACTTCAGATATAGATACTCAAGTTGTACATATTACATCATGAAAAGATACAGTATTTCTGACTCACTAAGATAGAACAAACTCATTTATCCACAAGTTATCCGATGGAAAAAGACGTTANTCTCCTCCTCTCGTGGTGGATTGTCTTCAGGGGGATTCATCGATCTGATGGTGACGACGATAGATTCAACAAAGAAAGTGTTTAAGTGAGAATTTTGTTGTTTCCCATAGACGGCACCAAACTAATGATGCACCAAATCGATTTGCACACCACCCTTCAATTAAGCAATATAAAATGTAGTAAGTAGAGGGAGAGAGAAAACAAGGTTTATAGTGGTTCGGTCAATGAGACCTACATCCACTTTCAATGGCTAGGTTGGCCAAAAATTTTATTGACTTCGATGCGTTGGGAGAGTAAGAATTACAAGAGAGAGGGAGATGAGCTTGATTTTGTTGAGATGCCCCCAAAGTGTTGGGGGAGCTGACAATTTATAGAAACATGCATAGTAATTGAGTAGCTTGACGGTTATAACGGACCGAAAGCAACTTAATAGTTGATGACCTCTTCTCTCCCTGGAGACCTCTCCTCTTCCTCAACGGATAAGGGTATAGCTCCTGGATGCTGTTGTAGCTCCTTGATGGGCTTGATTGTCTTGGACCTCATAAGGCTTGCTTGGTCTTCTATAAGCTTGGGCTTTTTCCTATGGATTTGGTCATTTGGACTTGACCCATAAATATCTTTAATAATCTAATAAATGAATGAATATCTATTTTTTTATTATTTTTAATAATGAATTTTATTTTAGGAATAAACATGATTTTAGGAAGATATCTTAGTTTTAGCAATAAACTAAATTTTTGAAAGAACTTTGAATTTGAATATTTTTTCTTTTTTTAAAATACACAATTAAATTGGCTACGAGATTACCACCATTGATAGTGGGTTTGAGATTCTCATTATCATTGAGAATTTAATTCCAATAGTGATCTTATTGTTGATGATATAAATTATTGACTCATTAACCACCCAACACATGGTAATTCATGGATTTAAGAATGAGATTATCATTTCTAACTAAGATTATTGACATTCAAATGGAGCCTTATGAGTGGTTTAGTGACTGAGCGTAGCATCTGATAACTTAGAGTGTCTCAACATCAATATTTTTTATAGCCCATAAGAGTAAGTCATCCTTATTCATCAAGGAGATGTTCTAAACTCGTTCGGACTATGATAGTCAGTGTTCAAACTCAAGGGAGTAGTCAAACTCAAGGGAGTAGTCAGTGCAAGTCTAGATAATCTGTAACAAAAAAAAATCTAAATTGGACATATAAGGAGTTTTATTTCTACAATAATAACTGAAATCATTAAAATTAAAAAATTGAAATTTTCATATAATTCGACCTGAATAGCTCGAAGAGATTAAATTTTAGTGGTTTTATATGAATTTTAATTTAATTTTTATCATATAGTGATAAGTAAAACAAATAACACAATCCCATAAGAAGAGTAGAGATGTGTATCAATGGTTGTCTTCACAATAATAAAAGACGTCCCTTTGATTTGGACATATAATTGTTTGGTACAATGAATGAGGACTAATCTTCAGTAGGAAATTAAGTAATATTAGGCAAATTACAAATATTCTACGCCATTAATTACGCCAATATATATTTTAATTCGTATATAATTTAGATTGAATCTTTATTTTATTGAATATCAATATATTTATAACTTACTTATAGTCGATAAAAATACCAATCCATTTTTTTATGGTAAAAAATAAAAAAAAAAATAGATATGCGGGAAAATAGAATTGATTGTGTTTTTAGAAATCATATTTCTCACCAACTACAAATCCACCTTTAAGATGGGGATTTAGGTAGAGAAATAATTGACCAACAGCTTAGCTACTCTTGTAGCAAAAACAAAATTGTCAACCCTCACAGCTAGTTCAAGAGTATGGAATTGAATCAAGACTAAACGTAAATTCAAGCTGATTCACGCTATTGTTTTCTAGACTTAACTAATACCTATGATTTACTAATAATTACAAAAATTCGGAGTTTACTCGCGTAGTCTTGCTCAAATTATTTATTATTTTTATAAATTAAAAAAAAAAAAGAGTACCAACGTGAACACATCGCAGTTGCTTTCATCGGAGAAAGCGGGGAAAAAAAAATCTCAGCTTCAGTTTGGATGCATATTAATGACCTATGCATGGCCCACTTAGCTAATATAGGCCATTCTATCATTTTGGCAGCACTGTGTATATGTCAAGCCGCCCCCCTTTATTTGGTCGTAATTTTTTTTATTTCGTGTGTTGATCTTTCCTCACCTAACACAAAGCACTAAAGCTATCATATATATATATAATTCTTTATTATACCCAAAAATGATATCAGAAATAAGTAGGATGATTTTTCCGTAACTGATTTGTGTCGAGAGTTAATGGACAAAATCTGTCTCTCGTCTTTCAGTTGTAAACATAACCTCCGGTAAAAGTATCTAGGTCATTCACGTACGACCTCAAACGAAGATATTCAAATCCTCCACGAACGACTTCAAATATAGATACTCAAGTTGTACATATTACATCATGAAAAGATACAGTATTTCTGACTCACTAAGACAGAACAAACTCATTTATCCACAAGTTATCCGAAGGAAAAAGACGTCAACCCCAACTAGATGACCTTTCATAAAAATAGAAGATCGCGTTGTATTTGGGTTTAATGAGGGGTCTCTATGCCACCTTACCATGTTCTAGAAAACCATGTCACACCTAAGGAATATAGTTTCTAATAATCAAATATTCTCCTAATAAATTAGAGATTATGTAATGATGACGTGAGAACCACCCATGTATCTGAGAATAAATACAAGGGCATTTACCCATTTACAAGGCACCAAAGGAGGCAAATTGCAATTCCCCCATCACTATAAAATCTCTCAAAGAGCCACCAAGCTCAATCAGATACGGATCATTCACACACTGTTAATATACACGTCACTGTTCTTAAGCCTTGAACTCTTCAATTCAAGCGCACACCTCACGCTTTGCATTTCTTATATCAATTATAATCTTCAAACAAAAGGGAAGCCTAAACAAATGCAGAAGTTATAGCAAATGCTACATATTTATGTAGCTACAAACCTTCCATGTAGCCAAATCACATTTCTAGCGTTTGTCCATTACAAGCAACCAAAAGATAAAAAGGGAAGATTATGACGGAAAAAGGAGAACTCAAAGTGGACAGGTTAACAATGGTTTGTGAAACACGACATCACTCAATTCATCAATCACTGACAATTTAATAGGATTTGGAAGTAAATCCTTGAACTGAAGATTTATATTGATATATTCACAGTAGAGAAAACTCATCGCAAGTTTAGAGCTATTTTTGCTATGTATAGATTTCAATGTACAAAGCAAGACAGCACGAGAAGCCATCAGGGCAAAACGAGAAGAAGACCACCATAACTCCCATCCTGTTTATATGCATAACAAATATCATGCAGACATTTGATAACTTATATTCACTCAAAAAAGAGACAATGACGATTGCAAGTGTTCAGATATGTCTTTCTTTTACGACATGTATACTTGCACACTTGCAGTCTTCATTGCCTGGCACACGGGGCAAACATCAATAAACCCTTCACATTCCTTGCACAGACACAAGTGTCGACATGGAAATAACAAGAAGGAGACTTCTTTAACCTTGCAAGCTTTGCAGTTCAGCTGTCTTTTTGTGGAAACTACATTTCCAGAACCACCCGCAAAGCCCTGATGGTTAGTGTAAGAGGCAGCATCATCTAACTCACTGTCCCCCCAACCTTCCCTCGCGTGTACAGCACCTTGTGCAATGACCTGCTGAAGATTGCCCTTAAGGGCAATGACTAATGACTCATTGTACTTGGCTCTGTAGTGCCAGGACTGAGCATCCATTGCAACCTTCTTTATTTTCTCCCCAAGTTCCTTGTTCTTGTGGTTCATGTTCTCAATTTCAAGCTCTTTCTCGCATAATTTCCTGCTGACTCCATTTTCTAAAGCATTTAATAAAGAAGCTGTGTGTCTCTGATTCAGATCCCTTAAACCCTTTGTGATGTTTTCTTCCTGTTTGAGAGAGATCAAATATAAGCAGCAGCAAAAGTAACAACAGAGAAAATACAAACTAAAAGCCTCTGGTCCACATTTCATGTCAGGATCCAACCCCAACCCTTTTTTTAATTTCACTAACATCTAAAATTTTCACCCGTTTTTTCATATAGGCTTCATTTGTAATCCATGGAAATACCACCATTGTAACATGTCACTTTATCAAACAAAAACAATATCCAAAAGTTTACTAATAGTTGGGGAGGGGGACTTCAGGGAAAGATACTTTTTATTTTAATCAAGCTAACTAGAAAACGCGTAACCCCCATTTTCCAAGAGTTAATGCCTCACTATGACACAAAATTTTAATGCGTACCCCACATTTTCCAAGGGTTAATGCCTCACTACGACAAAATTTTATCCCCAATGGAAAAGTTGTTAATTACAAACTAACTCCTAAAGAACCCAATTTACCTGAACTCTGATATAATTGTCAAATTCAGCTTTTGGCAAATCAACATCAACTCCAACACCATTGCTGAGGGACAACATACCAGGAAGAGCAGCTTTCAGGTTTTCACCAGCAGAAGTAACAGAAGAGTTGCGTTCATCTTCCTCGTATGAAAGTCTCAATCCAGTTGATACAGGATTTGGGTTCAAAATGCTTCCAATTAGCCCACCAGGTTCATCTTGACAAACGTTATTATTTATAGACATGTGCAGCTTCTGCTGTCCATATACAGTTACTGGCTCCCTGCCTCTTTTGGTACGACAATTTGTAGGAGTTGCATGCTCACTACCCATGTAGCCACAACTAATTGGAACTGCAGTATGCAACGCCAAAATTTCTTTCAAGAGATTAGAATGTTTGACCAATCATACCAACTAAATAAGATCATCAAACATTGATAGAATGATTGTGATTCAATAAGTTAATCTTACAGGGAGGGCAATAAGGGGAACAAGTGGTGAAAATACAGGTATAGGCACTGCCACATGATTATCCTAAGAATGGATCATACCTGATGTGAATTTCAAGGGTTCTCCCATCACCCATCGTGTGTCCACTAACTTATATAAGCGGACTGAACGCATCTCAACAAAGCTTCTCGCAATTATTTTGGTGTAACCATGCTTATGTGAGGTAACTGTCCACAATTAAGAAAACTATGTCATGTCTTTTTAAAATGCTATACATAGTGGGGATGGAATCTCTTTCTCTCTCTCTCTCTTTCTTTGTGCAAAGGTCTATCTCCTTCCCTTAACTGTGCTTATTATCGTACCTTTGTTTTTCCTGGTTAACAGCGGGGTTTGACTCTGTTGGAGATATAGCAGCTTAGTTTATTAGGGTTTATTAAGTTTTCCCTTTTTTACCTTTTTATTACCTTATTGTAACTTTCATTGGCTATATATACGGGGGCTCTACACTTAGTTTGTATCCTTTTGACTCATACATATCTCTCTTCTTGGTATCAGAGCCTAACCTCCATCTCTAACCCTAATCCTAACCTTAACCCTAGCCTTCATCACCTTCCCTACCACCAGCCATCCAGTCCCCCAGTTACATTCCATTGTCGGTCACAAACCAGAAACATCATCGACAAACCCAGCCAAAAAAAAAAAAACCACAAAGCACCGACTGCCGTCATAAAGCACCGACTGCCTCTCTGCCTCTCAAGCCAACCAAACCCAGTACCTACATAATCCAGTTCAGTCCAGTACCTATATAATCCAGTCCAGTCCAGTACCTACATAATCCAGTCCAGTCCAGTACCAAACCCAGTCCAGTACCAAACCCAGTCCAGTCCAGTCCCAAACCCTGTCCAGTCCCAAACATAGTCCAGTCCAGTCCTAAACCCAGTCCAAACCCAACACAGTACCCACTCTAGTGGACCAGCCTACTGCTGAGTCGTGTTCACAGTTTCAAGTTATGCCTTCGTGCGCCTGATTATTCGGGACCATATGACCTTTTAAGAGGGGTTAATTTCTCTTCTTCGTTGATCTGCTCTTGATGCAGTAGATCATTTATTTATATTTATTGGATTTCTAGGCACCGTGTCCTGATTATTTGGGAGCTTTATGGACCTTTTTTACCTGTCACTACTGTTCGACTGGAGGTATATGTTCTTCCTTATTTTATCCATCTATTTATCTTAGAGTTGTTTTTCTGTCACGAGTGCTCTAGTATTATTGATGATATGACTACTACTGAGGGAGTTGAGATCCCTACTGTTGAGACATTTGTTAGTACTTCCACCGGGTATAGGGGTCGACAGCACTCGGCCCAACGCCGTCAGGGTACCCCACATCAATGTAGATATGGAGATTCTCGTCAGTGTGATTATTGTAGCTAACTAGGACATCTCAGGGCTACTTGTTGGAAGCTCCATCCAGAGCTTAAGCCACCTCCTCGCAGCCATACAACTACCATTGCTAAGGCACCACCACCTACAGTCATTGCTCCTGCTACTACTGCTACTGCTCCTCCTTGGCAGAGTGATAAGGATCCTATCACTTCTCGCTTGGATATACTTATGTCAGCCTTGACTTCTCAAGGTTCGACTACTACTACTGTCATTACTAAAGGTATACCTCGTGTCTTTCATACTTGCGCCAGTTCGTCTCTTCTTTGGATGCTGGACTCGGGTGCTAATGTTCATATGACAGATGAGGCCCATCATTTCACCTCTTTTGACGAGCAGTTACATTCTCAAGTTCAGTTAACAGATAGTACACATGCCCCTATTGTTAGTAGGGGTACAGTTCGCCTCCCAGATAGCTTTACATTACGTTCGGTGTTTCATGCACCAAAACTTGTCATGAATCTATTATCTGTACATCAGTTAGCCAGAGATTTTCACTATGCAGTTGTGTTCGTATTTGATTCGTATTATTTGCAAGACCTAAATACCAAGAGAATTATTATCAAGGGACATGAGAGAGATGAATTGTATTATTTAGGCGATCCTCCTCCCGTTTCACCAGTTTCTCCACCTCCACCTCAATCACCTGTTTTGTCTTTATCTGTTCCTAACTTACATGCTAGTATTTTACCTAATACTTGTCGTTATGATTTTTCATCACAAACCGTGCAGTTGTGGCATGATTGTTTTGGACATACAAATTTTAAATATTTATATATGTTATTTCCTGTTTTGAGCAAAGCTTGTGTTAATGATAAACTTGACTGTGTTATATGTTCCCTATCAAAACATGTTCGGACCAGTTATATTCCTCACATGCACCAGTCACCCAAACCATTTGACCTAATACACTCGGATATTTGGAGACCTTCTCCTATTACAGCTCTGTCAGGTGCCCGATACTATGTGACATTTATAGATGACCATACCCGTTATACTTGGGTCTACCTTTTACATAAGAAGTCTGATGTACTCCCTGTCATTACTCAATTTCTTCAGATGATTAAAACACAGTTCGATGTCATTGTTCGTACTCTTCGTTCAGATAATGCCAAAGAATATGTGTCTGATGCCTTAGTGTCTCACCTTTCTTCTCAAGGTATCCTACAGCAGCTCACTTGTCCATATACTCCTGAGCAAAATGGAGTTGCTGAAAGAAAAAATAGGAGTCTGATAGGGATGGTACGTTGTATGCTTAGAAGTATGGGAGTACCAAAATCTTATTGACATTTTGTTGTTTTGACTTCTACTTNGGACCATATGACCTTTTAAGAGGGGTTAATTTCTCTTCTTCGTTGATCTGCTCTTGATGCAGTAGATCATTTATTTATATTTATTGGATTTCTAGGCACCGTGTCCTGATTATTTGGGAGCTTTATGGACCTTTTTTACCTGTCACTACTGTTCGACTGGAGGTATATNCTGCTCTTGATGCAGTAGATCATTTATTTATATTTACTGGATTTCTAGGCACCGTGTCCTGATTATTTGGGAGCTTTATGGACCTTTTTTACCTGTCACTACTGTTCGACTGGAGGTATATTGTTCTTCCTTATTTTATCCATCTATTTATCTTAGAGTTGTTTTTCTGTCACGAGTGCTCTAGTATTATTGATGATATGACTACTACTGAGGGAGTTGAGATCCCTACTGTTGAGACATTTGTTAGTACTTCCACCGGGTATAGGGGTCGACAGCACTCGGCCCAACGCCGTCAGGGTACCCCACATCAATGTAGATATGGAGATTCTCGTCAGTGTGATTATTGTAGCTAACTAGGACATCTCAGGGCTACTTGTTGGAAGCTCCATCCAGAGCTTAAGCCACCTCCTCGCAGCCATACAACTACCATTGCTAAGGCACCACCACCTACAGTCATTGCTCCTGCTACTACTGCTACTGCTCCTCCTTGACAGAGTGATAAGGATCCTATCACTTCTCGCTTGGATATACTTATGTCAGCCTTGACTTCTCAAGGTTCGACTACTACTACTGTCATTACTAAAGGTATACCTCGTGTCTTTCATACTTGCGCCAGTTCGTCTCTTCTTTGGATGCTGGACTCGGGTGCTAATGTTCATATGACAGATGAGGCCCATCATTTCACCTCTTTTGACGAGCAGTTACATTCTCAAGTTCAGTTAACAGATAGTACACATGCCCCTATTGTTAGTAGGGGTACAGTTCGCCTCCCAGATAGCTTTACATTACGTTCGGTGTTTCATGCACCAAAACTTGTCATGAATCTATTATCTGTACATCAGTTAGCCAGAGATTTTCACTATGCAGTTGTGTTCGTATTTGATTCGTATTATTTGCAAGACCTAAATACCAAGAGAATTATTATCAAGGGACATGAGAGAGATGAATTGTATTATTTAGGCGATCCTCCTCCCGTTTCACCAGTTTCTCCACCTCCACCTCAATCACCTGTTTTGTCTTTATCTGTTCCTAACTTACATGCTAGTATTTTACCTAATACTTGTCGTTATGATTTTTCATCACAAACCGTGCAGTTGTGGCATGATTGTTTTGGACATACAAATTTTAAATATTTATATATGTTATTTCCTGTTTTGAGCAAAGCTTGTGTTAATGATAAACTTGACTGTGTTATATGTTCCCTATCAAAACATGTTCGGACCAGTTATATTCCTCACATGCACCAGTCACCCAAACCATTTGACCTAATACACTCGGATATTTGGAGACCTTCTCCTATTACAGCTCTGTCAGGTGCCCGATACTATGTGACATTTATAGATGACCATACCCGTTATACTTGGGTCTACCTTTTACATAAGAAGTCTGATGTACTCCCTGTCATTACTCAATTTCTTCAGATGATTAAAACACAGTTCGATGTCATTGTTCGTACTCTTCGTTCAGATAATGCCAAAGAATATGTGCCTGATGCCTTAGTGTCTCACCTTTCTTCTCAAGGTATCCTACAGCAGCTCACTTGTCCATATACTCCTGAGCAAAATGGAGTTGCTGAAAGAAAAAATAGGAGTCTGATAGGGATGGTACGTTGTATGCTTAGAAGTATGGGAGTACCAAAATCTTATTGACATTTTGTTGTTTTGACTTCTACTTTTTTGTGCAATCGTACACCGAGTCGTGTTCTTCAGCATAGGGCTCCCTTACAGGTCTTATTCTCCGAGCGGACACTTTTTTCGGTCCCCCCTCGTGTTTTTGGCTACACATGTTTTGTTTAGGATCGGTCTCCTACTCGTCATAAGCTCGATAATAAAGCGATTCGTTGTGTCTTTGTGGGCTATTATCATTAGTCTAAGGGGTATCGGTGTTATGATCTTGTCAGGCGACGTATGTATCACAGTCTAGATGTTACCTTCCTTGAGCATATTCCTTATTTTTCTTCCAGTCCTGTGTCTGCCCTTCCAATTGATGATACTCCCTTTGATTTTCCATTACCACCGGAGTCAGAGCCATTGGTCACTATTACTACAGAGTCATCGGTCTCTCCTCCTCCAAAGCCACTCATCCCTGTCAGTACAG